ACAAGTTAAACTTTGAAGCTACACCTCCTGCCAACAGAATACTGACAATTACTAGATTCTATCGTTTTTAAATCCGTGACAGTCCAGACATCCGGTAAGGATACAGACTGCATCCATCTTTTATGCTTGGAACTTTGGGAGCTGTGGGGCTAAATTCTTGGTTCAATCAAAACTCCAATGTGGTCTTGTGAAAACCAGCTACCATACGTACTTTGATTGCCAAACTATAAAATTAGTGATAACATTTATTCTTTACTCAATCTTGTTTATTTAGACTCTAATTGTTTTACAGCAAAGATGGTTTCAGGCACATTTACCACAGGAAAGGAGGCTGACATCTTGCATAGTGCTTGTACATACTCCTGTGGTGCACACAATTAACCATGCTAGATATAATTCTCAAATACGTAGTTTCTGCTCCCATTTGATTTCTTCCATATGCATATTAGTGCATTCCAGTGTCTAAGGCTATGCACTCCCAGTGTGCACTGCAATAATTACTATAACACTTCTGCCACTGAGTACTTCTTGACTTGAAAGCTTCTATCCCAAAATCTAACTATGACTACTCCTTTGACTGCATTAAGAAAGTATACCCTCCTCACTCTCCCTAATACATGTCTCTCAGCTCTACTGTTTGCAAATTCCTGCAGGCCTATATTGTGCTATCTTCTAAGTTCACTTTTAACACTTCTGCAAGGAAGATGAGAACAACCTTTTTGTTTCACCAACCAGCAAAAACCAAGAAATGTGGGGTTTATGCTTAGTTTATTTCCCTCTGCCTCAGCACTGTAGTTGCGGGGCTACATAAGCAACTCACCGGTGATAGGCTTCCCGGCGGTACTTTTTCAGAGCATGCCCATCCATGTTTGCAGGGAGATCTGCTGCATTCTGGAGTCGGTCGCTCCATGAGGTTGTCATCTTCAAATGCTTATTTATTTCTGAAAGAGGCAGAAAAATTTGCTTAAGTTCAAGGCTTGCTTCACTAGAAAGTTGTCTGTTTCCTGGTACAAAGAGACGCAACACGACACAGGAAGTCTTGCAAAGTGCCCAGTGGGTAAAGCCAGATGCGTTCTTCTGAGATGTTTGATGAGACAGGGTGATAAAACAGAGAGCTAGCAAGGCTATTCCAAGTGGCTGGAACTGCAAAGACCTCCCTCTCCAGTACGGTTTGGAAAGAAATACTTGGTTTACATTGCTGAAAAGGTTTATTTTTTGACTCTGGAGTTACTAATATTCACTAGCTATAGCTGATGGAAAATGTACCCTTTATACACAAGCTAAAATTGGCAGGGCAAACCCTACAAACCCCAGTTGGACTGACCTTGCCACTTTTACCACATGGTAAAAATAATGAGTCTCATTTCTGGCCATTTGATCCCTAAACAAGGACAAAGCTTCAAACTGGTGCTAAATTAGCAGAAACAATTGGAAGGAAAACAGAAAGATGATCTTTTGTCCTCTCCACATCAGCCACAATTAGAGCAAGGACGTGCTTCAACCCTTGAACACCAGCAATGCAAATATTCACCAGCAGATCCTCACAGATGTCTGCACCCCTTCACAAGAACTGGTTGTCAAGACCAAGCAACCAGAGAGTGCTTTTCATCAAGAAGGCATCTCTTCAGTGAGGAA